ATAATACCTCATATCTCATGTGAGTTAACAATATCAATTCATGTTTGTCAAGCATTTTGATAGTGTAGTGAAGAGCACCATAGGAAAAAAAACATAACAAAACAAGAAGAAATGGGTTTTTTTGACCTCAAAGCAGGATTTGAATAATGTGCAAGAAACAAATCCTGAAGCCACATATTGAACAATGAGAATAAAATGAAACATTGAAGAGCTGCTCATTAACGGAGCATTTTATTTCCTGCATATGGAATAAGACAGAGGCCTGTAAAAAATACATAGATATGATCAAATATTTCAAGATTATAATTAGTCTTTACTGAAAGATTGATAGTTTTGGTCAGTTCAACAGCAACAACAAAAAAAAGACAATAATGGCTTAAGTTCAGTCCAAAATCAATTTTTTGTTTATTCTTATCACCAAAATAAAAGCATTTTCCTTATAAGCCAAACTTAGTTAAATTTTGAAACTAGTCATTACTTTGAATTTAAAAATTATAATATTTTATTTTCAAAATGTCAAACCACACTGCTGTGGCTGCTACAAATTTTGGAAGGTATTTTTCAGTTGAAGCCTCCATACAGTTTCCATAGATACCTTCAGTTAACTTGAATTTTCATTTTTCTTACAATAAACTATTCAAAACACTGAATTCACCTCTAGTCTCAGTGTGGGTAGGGAGAGCGGTCACGTGAAAGCTGAACAACCAACCCAAGGCCTAGGAGTTTTAGCTTTAGACTCTGAAAGATCAGTGATTTGGTCTTCTAACTTAGGTTTGGATGTACAATATAGATGCAACTAACCATACATGATAAGGGAATATTGATTAAGTATTATGGCTTTGCAATCCATGACATTATATTAGATAATAAGAAGCAGCTTTTTCAACTTGAAAAATCTATTTGTATTAGCATGAGTATCCTTTCATCCCCAATATTATATATAGAGATTATATGCTTATATAGGCAATTATTATTACACTTCAAAACAACAGCAACAGATAGAGATTAATGTCATTTTATGGAATGAATATAGAGCGCTCTGCTACAGGTTTTCCACTGGAAAATTAGATGCAGAAATGGGCACGCTTGTTGGTCAAGTTATCACGTCTCCTGAAATGACAGTTCTTTGAGTACTGAGTTTAGGTATGTTAGAAGGCAAAAATGACAAAGATGCCCATTAAGATGAATGGGTGGAGGAAACCAAAGCAGTAGAAAAAAATGGGGAAAAGAGACACGTAGAGCGAGAGATCTTCAATGGCAACAGGCAAAATCATATAAGGCTAAAGAGAGAAATAAGAAGGAAAAGAAAAAAATCAGTGCTACTGCAGCATCCATCAGAGAATGCAATATTCAGCTGAAAATCTCACTCTTAACTAGAGGCTGAGAATGGTAGGATATGCAGTCTGAAATACTATGAAATCAGAATAATCTGTTTTCTTTCCAAAAAAAGGTATTCAGCTGAGCTTAGAGCTGAAACTCCCACTATCAATGTTCTTAATAAATATGCCAAGTATGAGAATATTAAATACAAATTCAGAAATAATTTCTTTTCTCATCAGAAACCAAATGAGTCATGTATGTTCTAATTTAATGGATTTGACTATAGATTCTGAGTGTCCTTTCCACTATCCTCACAGTTTAGCTTACAGATTTTAGTATTTTTATTATATTTAGATTTTTCTTCATAATATCTCGTGTGTAAGTTTACTCTATAACATGAGAAGAACTGTAATTACATGGAGAAGGTCAATGTTGCATATTGCGGAGTGGTAATTTTTTTTTTTAAATAAATACAAACCCTCCTGACACTGCTACCCATCTGACTTTAATCCATGATACCAGTCCAACAATCAATCACCAGGGGCATTGGACACCCATAATTAGATTATAAAATCATAACTATAGTCATTTTACGTCTGCTTGCATAATTACATCAGCATGCTAATATCCTTTTAATGGTCTCTAATGATGTAATAAGAAATAATAGAATTTATTTGACAGCTACATAACCATTAACAAAACATATTAAGCATAACTATTGCTTCCATAAAGATTCAGGCTGTATCCACAAGTGACAGCTAACATGTTGGATCTTTTCTTTAACGTTGAAATATTTCTAATTATGAATTCCCCAAATCTATTCCCACTCATTTGCTTCACAGGGTGAGCAAAGTTTATGTCAATGCAAACTTGACAACAAACCAACTGCAGAAGTGGACTGAATGCTCTGGGAGCCAAGCCTGAGGCTGTACTGTGAATTGCAGACCATCCATTAAAGTTGGCAGGATTGTGAAGGGGAGAAGATAAGATAAGCTGATTACTACCATGCATCAACTAATCAAGAACTAACACAGGAATCAGTAAGAATCCATAGCAAAAGCAATTGTTCACTTACCAAACTCCAAAGCACAGGAAAAAACTAAAAATACAGGGAAGAACGAAAGATATTTGCAGACAAAACTAACTAAAGGTAGCAATGTATTTGTGAAGCAGTCCCTTTAAAACTATTTTTTTCAGAGAAAAGGACAAGAAACTCTTAACTGAGAATTTACAGGTCTTTAGAAGAACTCACCACTCACCCTCTTTCCTCACTTCTTATTACACTATTCCTATTGAATGTGATGGCTTTGTTTATACTCGCAAATTAACCCTGTGATTCTCATTAACATATCTTTACTCTGAAATCTTTGCAACAGTCTAAAAAATTCAGGCCTACACTGTTACTTTCTTACCATTCAGAATTCTTGGAGGGAAAAGAGAGAATTGAGAATTTTACACTAAGCTAATTCTCCGGTCAAAGTAGACATTTTAAAAAACTGAATCCGTAAGAAAAAGAGTACTTTTAGTTGCCAGTAAAATAAAATAATTTCAATTGCCCATGATGCCTTAGGCCAAGTAAAATGCATATTTCCTGAGAGGCCTCATTCTCACACTTTGATATGTCAAAGGTAGATTAGGAATAACCATGACATCAAGTCTTTCCTGAAACCCCTCTCCATGATGCCACTCAGAAGCTAACCAGAGCCCTAAAATTCATACAGTTTTCCAACTATGGCTGTGTAGTGATGACAAAAGAACAAATCCAAAAAGCGTTAATTCTTTGCTTGGTGAGGCCTTTTTCTAAAGCCTCTACTACTGCTATATCTACTGGCCAGCTCCACATTTCTTTAGCATTTCATGGGTTAAACCTGAGTCAAAGCATCTCATTTTCTTGAGCAAAGAAAATTTATTATGGATGGACTCTTCACTAACTTGAGATTTGGGATAATATATAGATCTTTTAAAAAGGCAAAGACTCTGTTTGTGTTGACAGAATACTTGGTCCTGTTTGAAATTACTATCACCCAAAATACACTTTTAAAATACTGACCATACAGTGCAAATACTTTTGGTACAGTCATACAAGTACAATCATATAAGTACAGTCATATGACTACATATTAAGTGGACACAAAATAACCATTTTCCAAAATGTCACACATTTAAAAAAAAAATAAAATGTTCTTTATAGCTAGCTATATCACTGGAGGGATATTTTTCATTAGAGAATGAATCTACAGCCTGCCAATTGCAATGTTGTTGTGAATTATCAAATGATAAAAATAACCAAAAGGCTTTATGCTAACAATTAGAAAGATAGGTGAAAGTGCTCTTGTACTGTAAATGAATGAAGTTAATGAAGCAGAACCCATTGATTCCAGCAGAGAAATCGTTCCATGGGATTACCCCTTTACACGTGCAGCAGACTTTATCTGCTAGTCAAAGTTGCAAATTCTCTTTACAAGGAAGACCATATAATATTGTCATTTTTTGTAATTTCAAAACTCAGTTTTCATAAATAATACATTTCATAAAATAGAAGCAAAAAGACTTTCAGCAATACACAGAATTGTTCTAGCAAACAAAACATGGGAATATTTTCCTTCTAAACAACTAAAGCCAATATGCCTGGTATTTGTCAGATTTCTAGAAGATTTTCTTACCAGTAGTCTATTTCTCCCTACATATACAGCAATAGAAGGGGTAGTTTTCCAAAAAATAATAAACACTTCCACTAAACACGAAACATCTTCAGACTATGGTGTAAAACAGAGTATTAAATGATGAATTACATTCACTGGAACTGAAGGTTAAACAAAAGCTGATGGCAGCACATGCAAGGCTGAGAAAGGTGCTGCATTTCAGCAACCTGACTCGTGGGCCAAAACAAGCAGCCCCAAATCCTCTGAAACATAGGCAGGAACTGGATGCTACCCAGACATCAGTTATTTTCTGTGCACCAAGATGTGACTTCTTTCCAGCAAGCTGTCAAAAGCCTCCCACAGCTGACCCTTCTTTTCCATTACTTTTTCTATCAAACTATTTTTATTTTCTGTTTTACAAAGGAAGAATTAAGTTTTGTGAAGTAAATGTTCCTACCAAAATGATTCCAGAAAATCCCTAATCTAAAATTTTTTACCGGACATGGCAAATCATAACCTCCTAGTTCAGGAGATTAACATGCAGAGCATTCATCAGTATGAATCATATGAAGAAAACCAGTAGCTCAACAAATCTGAACTCCCTGTGACTTGTTAAATTAGCTGACCAAGCAGCACAACCTAGTGTGCCACGTGCCAGACTCAAAGCCAGGGACCCAAGTTCTTATCCATCTCTGATGTCATTTTCCCCCTCAGCAACGCTGGGTATAATGACCCTTCACACGACTTTCCTTGCCTAGAAACTGTTAAATAAGGTTAGTAATATTTTACAGCACTTTGAACAGACTATTTTTCCCTAAGGAAACATAGGAAAATTTCTGTCTTTATAAATTTTTTAAAATAATTTCTTCCTAACTGTGTGTAGGGGACATTATATAGATCATCACAATATTCTTTTTTGTCTCTCACACGCTCTCATTAATTTTGGCATTAAAGTGTAGATATTTCCTTGTAAGACAAACTATTCAAAAATAATGAGAAATCCAATAAAATAAAAAGGGGTAATTTCCATGTACGTACTTGACATCATCGAAGACACTCATCTGCAGCTTCAGGAGATCTGCCACTTCCTTTATTAACTCCAAGCCCTTCTCCACACTCAGGGGGCTGTTGAAAGGGAGCAAGAAAACAGAGCATTACGAAAATGGAACTCATCAATACTTGAGAGGCTAAAAGTCCCAAAAGAGTTATCACCTTGGCCTCTTAGAGTCTGAAAGCCACCACTAACTGTATTCCTATCACATAGTGATCGTGATATCAAGGGAATTGGGATCAGGTGCTTCTTCAGGCATGATGAATCACCTGAATTTTCCAGCAATAAGACAAACAATAAGGTGTAAATGGAATTGTTAGGAAGTGTAATGGGCCCATGATGCAGCAACCGGTTCATCTCAGTCCTCAATAAAAAATGTAATAAAGTAAAAGGACAGAAAGAGAGAAAAGGATTGACGAGACAAGGAGGGAAACAAACAATGAAAGTTAAATTGCAGGCTCGCTATCAAATGGACAAGGGAAAAGCATATTTTTAAATTCATTAGTTTTTAAAATGAATCTTCACCCAGTGAAAGGATACAAAATTATTATGGATTTGAAAGTAAACAATAGAGTAAGGCACACAGTCCAGAGGACACTGATTAGATACATAGGATTTAGTTTGGTGCATGCATGCACTGCTGACAGAACCCGCTTTAAATCTTTTTAACCTTTGTCAATGCCACATTTACATTTTTTAATTTAGAAAACAGGTTGCAATCAAGCCTAACACAAGAGGACTGCTATCATTTAAAAAAGCACTTATCTAGATGCAAAATTTATTTTTGCAAAAATTTCAGGTTATTAGAGTTGTTACAACTCTAAAGATGCATTAAGAATGTTCTGTCCCTAATACACAGATCATACATTGTTTAGTTGTTGTTCAGTACTGTGGAGCCAAACACAAAAGTATTAAGAAAATAAAAAGATAAGGAAATAACAATGTCCAGTGAGAACAACAGATACAACATTCTCTGTCTAAATTGTGATTATAGAATTATTCTCAACTTGTTAAAGCCAGAAAGATCATAAAATTAAACCTTACAAGCTTGATACTTATATAACTTATGCCATGGTAAATCAGAAACAACTTTGATGAGACTACCCCAGGGGAAAAAAGGTTCTGTATTTTTTTCCTTCAAGGATTTATAACAAGTAGGAGAAGGAGGTGTCAAAAAAAGTATGTACTATTAGACATGATCTTTTCAACTGGACTTAGGGAAAAAAAAGATTTTTTTCAAAGCTCTGTACCCTGGGTTATTATTTCTGCTTCACAGAGAAAGTTTTTTAATCTAATTTTATATCATGGTAATCATTGCCACAATTTTATTTATTGTCTGCAATGAGCACTGTTTGTTTATTTATTTATTACACTAGCTTCTGCATACAACGCCCTAAGGGCACCTCTATTTAAATAATGGGATGTCTCATGTGGATCTCGGATAGGATGGAATTGCTCAGCCTCCCTTCATGCTACTAACCCAAAATGCTCAAGAGACCTCCTGTCACACAAGCAGAGGTAGCCCCTCAAGGCACCAGATAAATTTAGTTTTGCTAGATGTCTGAGACAGAAATGTTCTTGTGTAAAAGTAACAAAAGAATCTGATTGTTTCTGCAAGGAAGAAAATGTACTATAGATTATTCATAAAACCCCTATATTTCAAGGACTGACAGTAGGTAGAAATGTGATTATTCCCATCACTATGAAAGCAGATTGTCATAGTGAATCAGGGGCTTATGTGTTAATTAAATCTTTTCTCCCAAAGATGTTGGCTTAAATTTTATGGAAATGATTGGTGTCAGCAAGTGGGCTTTTACTGTAATAGCAAGTCTACACAGCGGTGCAGGCAAAGTCTGCTGCCTACATTGGTGTAATTTTTTAACCAAGGGAGTCTCATTTGTAAAAGCTCAACCCCCTACTCCCTGCTTACCCCTCTGCCTCTGAAAAAGCATTCCCCAGCTTCAAAAACAAGGTATGCTGCTATGAGCCAAGGTAGCAACAGTAATGGGAGACGTAATCAGAGCATTTGAATGCTACAACCTGGCAAGAATGCTGGAGAGAAAATGGGAGAGAAAATGCTGCCTGAAGGTGATTCTTTTGCCAGCCTGAGCATCCCAGTCTAGTCTTAGTAACTCTCATCCAATACCAAACTAAAACACATAAGTTCACAAACTCACATGCAGCTTGTTAGGCTAAAAAATTGTCATCCATAATGGCACAGGAAAGCTGCCGAACCAGTACTCTTTGGTACCAGTATTGTTGATCACACTATCACATTTGAGGATTCACATTAAGAATGAGTAATTTATATCATGATATTTCCCACTGCAATTTTTCAAAATTCTTAACGTTGATACATACTAGTACTCTTTATTACAGTTCTGTGACAGCTGTATTGTAGGAGAGTTGAATATTCAAAACCTTTCTCTAAAAATGTCAGAACATCATTCTCCACACTGTATTTCTGCTTTGCTTTTGTTTAGTGTTGCATTTTGCTCAGTGTTGCATGGTTTGTACAGTGATTGCCTTTAGCTTTGTTTACACAGAGAGAATACACCGTTCCTATCAGCACAGTGTTAAGCAAACTAGCCTACATTGCAACAGCACCGCACACTGACGTCACCCATCTGATTTCAGGTTTATAAAAGGACTGTTACCAGAAGACAACTTGCAAACGCCACCTATCCTCCTGCCCATGGTCCTCCCACATGTCCCAGTGCAAGCACACAGTACTCACGGACCAGTCACTATTTGTGATCTTTCACGTACTATGCTTGGTTTTTGGCTTGCTTGATTCAGTCCTACATGGGAAGAAGTTTCTGTATTATGGAGTTGGGTTTTTCTTATGAATATGATTCATCTATTGATTGTGAGGGTTCAAGAACTATGGAATTAATTCACAGGAAAGTGTTACATAAACCAAGAAAGAAAGACAAAAAATAGTTGTTCAGATAAGGAACAAATACTGAGATCCTCCAGACAGAAATTGTAATAGTAGAAAGAAGACTCTTTAAACAACCTTGACAATGAAACTATTTTATCAAGGCCAAAGACTTGGAGGAAAGCTAAGGGTGGGGGTAGGGTTCACATTACTTTGTCTGAACTGTCAAGATGGTCATTTCAGTTCCCTATAGTGAGGGAGGAGAGAGGGAAACCTCTTTTTGGTGACGGGTCTTGCTGGCACTTGGAGCAGCACAGCACAGAGTGAGTCTCTGGGTTGTGGCCCCTCAGTTTCCAGACGTGTTACAACACAGGTCCAGCTCATATGCATTTTCTTGCACGAGTCTCTGATAACACATTTTGGTACACCAGTAATGGTAAACCCTTAAAAGAGAAATCACAACTTACATAGGCCTCAGAGATACAAAGCATGTACTGGGGGGGGGGGGGGGGGAAGACCAACAAGCAGCCTCCCCAGGTCT